ATACATTAACATCAAAATTTTAAATGGTCGGATAGGCGCCAGCATCCCTGTGATACTTTATTTTATAAATTAATAGTAGTTTTGAAAAATGTTTAAATGATGTACACTTACATGAGACAAGCTCCACTTGCGTTGATAGTCTAATAAAAACAAGTATTATTATACATGGAGTGGGTCGCCATATGGGGGCCGCCATGTTGTAATCACTTGACCAGTTAAATGCTTAGTGGTTCCTCTCGCTCCGCTTCATGCCACAATCCCTAGACAAACACCATAGTGTCCCATCACAACGTAAACAAAATAGTACTGACTCTGAGTGCTCCTTTAAACAACTTTAAAAAATTGTAATGAAAAACAAAATGATGACATTTTGGGCACTAGAAATATTGGCTAAGATTGTTAGTTGACTTCAAGAAGCACAAATAGAATTCTGGGGAATACAGTCTGTTTAGGAATTTGCTTTTTGTACAGGAAAATTCACCATGAAAAGGTTCAGCGCTTAGATTTTAATTGAAGAATATTTTGGTTTAATCAGATATGCAGTCTGCTTTCTTCATTTGTGCATTCTCTCGTTTTCTTCCTCCCTCTCCCTTTTTTCCTCTCTGGCCAATCAGTAGTGAGGAGACAGTATGAGGCAAAACTTACTCTCGGTTGCCGGGTGTGTTACCATGACTACGCAAAGCAGATCCCTGACCTAGTCCATCCTACATGACATGACTTACAGCTTTTCATCTTTCACGTTTCTCAGCTCGTGGGGACTCTGTCAGAGCCCTCAGCATAATTCCCGCATCTCTCTGTGGTGGCGACCCATGTTTTCTGTATCATTGTGTACTATTGAAATGAGCGGTGTGTTCTCACTGTCTTCCAGAATGTTAAAGCTTGTCTTTGAGGCTGTTTCTCATGTGTGCTTTGGCAGGATCACCTGTCTGCTCCTTTGAGACGGTTTGCTCATTACCCACACACTCCCACAACACATGCCACTGATGCAATAGCTCTCAATGTCAGTGTGTGAAAGCGTCGTACAAGTGTCAGGCCATACAATTAACAAATGTTGCACATATCTGTGACATCTCTGTATGCGAGTGTCTTGCCTGTGTTTGTTTTATTAAGAAGAATTGTAGCGAGCGATGTGTTGTTATGTATCGCATCAGCCTCAGACGGCACACCCACCGACCGTCCCATTAACCACTACACCAGTCTGTTCAAAGACTGGCTGATGCATATTTCCCACAGAAGTACTTTCTTGATTTGACAAGCTCCAGTCTGATTAAAAGAAAAGTTTCTGAGTTATGTTTGTACTTTGCTCAGACACAAATAATGATCACAGCATTTATACACATTTTCCTCTTTTTCTTGTGTGTGTGTGTGTTTTCTGTTTAAATGTTCGTTGAGCAGTAAGTTTGTCGTAGGAATGTAAATTTTCATGTCATTTCAAATCTGCAATCAAGTAAATAATTAATCACTAACATTAATAAAGCCAAATGCATGTGGAAAAAAACTGATAATTGCAATATGTTTTTTGTATATATTATTTTAATACATTATGTAATTTAAAGACATTTACATGTTTCTATTGTCAAGTAAATAATTAATCACTAACATTAATACAGCCAAATGCATGTGGAAAAAATTTGATAATTGCAATATTTTTTTTTATATATTATTTTAATACATTATGTAATTTAAAGACATTTACATGTTTCTATTGATAGTTTAGTAAAGTTACATAAATATTGTAATTACACTACCAAAAAATAAAAAATTAAGGGTCAGTAAGATTTAAGAATAAAAGTATACTTTTATTCAGCAAGGATTCATTATATTGATCAAAAGTGAGAGCAAAGATTTCAAAGTGAAGACATTTTTTGTTACAAAAGATTTCTATTTCAAATAAAAACTGTTCTGTTTCCATAAAAATATTAAGCATCACAACTGTTTTCAACATTGGTTCTCAAGAAACATTTTTAATATTATCAAACCAGCATATTAGAACGACTTCTGAAGGATCATGTGACACTGAAGACTATAGGAATCATAGGAATAAATAACATTTTAAAATATATTAGTAGAAAACGGTTCTATAAATGTTGATAATATTTCACAATATTACTGGGTTTACTGTATTTTAAGTAAACACTGCCTCGGTGAGCATAAGAGATTCAAAAACATTTAAAAAAAATTATTGACCCTAAACGTTTGAGCTGTGGTGTATAATTACAAATTTATTTCAATCCACAATATTTTAATACATTTAAACTGAGTTTAGTATGAATTTAAGTTTACTGTATTTTAAGTAAACTGCCTTGGTGAGCATAAGAGATATTCAAACACATTTAAAAAAATTATTGACCCTTTGAGCTGTGGTGTATAATTACAAATTTATTTCAATCCACAATATTTTAATACATTTAAACTGAGTTTAGTATGAATTTAGTTTGATTAAATAATTATTTAATACATTTAATAACAATGTTTGTGTATATACAATATTGAAATATTTAGACATTACATTAGACTTTGAATTGAAGTTAAATGATACCAAACAGTGTGAATCCAGTGCAAAAACTTGGTCACAGTGAGATTTCAGGTGAGATTTTCAGCTGCATACTCTTCCAGTGAGCACTAGCATGATTCTCAGATGGGATGATGCTGGGAGACCAACAGATGAACATTGCTTGCTGTCATGTTGTACTTTAACACATTATCACAGTTTTTGTAGTGAATGTAATCTTTATTATAGAGAAACACTCCAACTCTGATTATGTTGAGCCCGGTTTATTTGGCAGTTCTTGGCCAGAATGGGCTGCAGTGTGGACCACAATTTATGCCGTTTAGTCAAAGGTCTGGCTACGTGTGACTAGGTGTCATATGGAGCTGCATGTGTGGGAGTTGCATTGAATGATGCAGCAGTTAGATGGTGAACCATCTCCCAAGTCCTCGACAGATCACACTGTCCCTGCACCCTGACACTCCAGACACCCACTTTCATCTCCATTAAGTGCACCACATCACACTGGCCAGCAAAGAGACACCCCCACACTCACGCACTTCAAATTTTGTTAGGGCTTCATCACTGTTAAAAGCTGCCCCGAGGCTGCTGAAGACACTGGCAAGTGTTTAAATTGCTGTAGCTGGTGGACAGTTACACATCTTATTCATATGGAGTGACACTTTGACATTCCGTCTGAACTGTTAGCATAGCACAGATACCATTGGGATTTACTGTTTCTGCAAATTCCGTTTGGAATGCGTTGGGATTCCATTCAGATTCCATCCTGTTGGAACCATGCATTCCTCGATAAGCAGCTCAGTTCAGTTTGTGAGCCCAACTACCCATTAAAGCTGTGATGACATGAGAAAAAAAAAAAGAGTATTTTATCCAACCCCCCCCCAAAAAAAAAAACAATTAATAGTTTTAGCAGCAAATCAAGTCAATTGTTGCCTTTGGCTGCCCGCTCTCCAGGCATTCAGGCATATGATTTATGCAAGAGCAATGTGAAGCATTTATATGTTTTAGCTCTTCCTCCCTCAAAGATCTGAATTCATTAAAGGAAGACATTCAGTGCAGTTTTGGTGAGCACTGAAAAGTTGCATAAAGATTACAAATCTTCTTTTAGAATAAACTGTTAGAAGTTGGACCTGAATCTAAATCTTGCTTCATTTCCTTGGTCACCATTCATTTTCATTGTGTGTAAGAGAGGCAGACATTCTGCTTTATCATGTCTTTTGTGTTTTACAGAAGAAAGAAAATCATAAAGAAAAACAATAGTGAATAAATGACAGAAATTTTATTTTTGCATGAACTGTCCCTTTAAGAAAGAATGTGCTTGATTAATCTGTCAAAAACATTTGTGTTTATTTTCCATCAAAATTTTCCATCAAAATGGATCTCGCTCCAACTCTCAAACACCGTTTTTTCAGCTAATGTCAACAGTGACTTTTACTTTTCTTAACCCCTCTCCTTAAACTATTTATTTATTTAAAAAACAATCTAGATGATTTAAGTTTTAAGTTTAACAGCTAGTCAATTAGTCAATTAGTCAACCATTGTGACCAATGCCTACATATTACAGGCTAGGTTTAACATGCAATTCTCAATTTTGTACCATACATAACAGGGGTTCCTGCTCCATCCCTCTATCCCCCAAGAGCTCCTTGACCTGAAAAAGGTATAAAATTGTCTAAAGGAATTAGAGGAATTATTAAGGGAAATAGAGACAGTTTATCAACAGACCATCAGTAGAAGTATTTAACTTTTGGACTGATGGAATGACATCTTTCCCTTCTGGGTTATTACAGTACCTTACACATTGCAGAACAAATGGCGTTGCTCCATGGGTTCACTGAGTTTGTCTCGCAGCTAATCGACCCCGCTCATGAACGTTTGGTGTGTGTATTTAACCGTGTCTGCTGCTCACCGTTCAACATGTTGCTCGGACAGCTGGGTGATAAACAATGCTATATGTCCGACCCATATGTAGTATGAGCATGTACAACAGCCACAAGGGCTCTATAATCTGTCAGCCGCACAGACGGGCAGATTGTTGATGCGAACAGACAGACAGAAAGAGAAGGCTGTCACTTCAGTTAGAGGTAGTGAACATTTTTCCTCCCGTGTCCCAGTGCTGTCGTTTTACCATTTCCTCCGATCGTTTGAAGTTCAGACCTTCCAGCACTCCTGAGATTATGCTGTTTTCTTTTCATTTGATGGGGTTTTGAAAGTTGGAATCATTACGCTTGAATGTCTAGGGATTCTTGTTTCATTTATCCTCTCAATCACGGAGCCCTTATCTTCCTGCCACGCAGTCTTGGATCTTTTAGTAGCTGAGATTCAGTGCAATTCATCTCTGTCTCTCTCTCTCTCTCTCTCTCTCTCTCTCTCTCTCTCTGTGTCTCCCTCTTCACCCCCTCTAGATTCAGTGCAATTCATCTCTGTCTCTCTCTCTCTCTCTCTCTCTCTCTCTCTCTCTCTCTGTGTCTCCCTCTTCAACCCCTCTAAGGGACGCTGTACACGTGATAACTGTAAGTACCTGCATCCTCCGCCTCATCTCAAGACCCAGCTGGAGATAAACGGCAGGAACAACCTGATCCAGCAGAAGACCGCAGCCGCCATGCTGGCCCAGCAGATGCAGTTCATGCTGCCTGGAGCTCAGCTGCAGCCCATAGTGAGATCCGAATTTAATAACCAATAACATCACGACCGTTTCTCTTGGCTTGAAAGCATTGCTTTATTATCCCTTGTTGTCTTTGTGTCTCTCATCCAGACATCGTTCCCAGTAACGCCTTCCTTGGCCAACAGTCCGAGCATGGCTTTCAGCCCATACCTGAGCCACATGAGCCCGGGCATCAGTCTCATGCCCGAACTTCTGCCCAGCGCCCCCGTGCTGGTCCCGGGGAGCCCCACCGGCATCACCATGGGCAACGGAAATTCAATGCAGAAACATGTTCGCACAGACAAGCTTGAGGTTTCAAAACGACTTGCTTTGTCTCTTGTAATATCTCTATAACGGTTGCTAAATATGTATTCGGCATGCAACTCATTTTAAACCATTTGTGTTACAAACTTTAAAAACATGTCAAAATGTGTGCTGTCACTTTTCTAAAGGTTGGAATACACTACGTGACTTTTAGAATCGGAACTGATTTTTTAAAACACTAGGCATCACATACTTGCCGACTTTGTTAGTGTTTCAGTCAGGACTACTTCGTCAAAGTATATTTATTACAATTATATAGCATACAGTTAGTGTTGGCAGTATGGTTCTGTTCTGGGCAAAACTTACCACGCCTGTCCATGCAGCCATGCTTGGACAGAGCGGGGAGAGCTGCAAGTCAAACCCCCCTGGGGTACAGAACAGATCATAATTACAAATCACAATTTACATGAGTTGTAGAAAATACAAAATACATGATACAGAATGCTTGCAATATAGTGAACTGTTTTACGGAAAAAAAAATTCAGATTAGATTATAGGTTGTTAGGTAGAGTTGGGGTTGGAGGAGGGAGTTTGATATGCGAGCAGCGATGCGATAGAAGAGATGCTGAAGAATTTAAATGGACCGCTGTGATAAGTGTCAAAACTGGATTGGCCTGAACTAAGGCGATGCTTGATTTTCAGAGAAAAACTAGACACTGTACACTAAACGACTGAGGATCACAGACTAACAAACAACAAACTCATGCAGAAACATGCACCTCATTGTTAGGAGACACATGACAGATGAAATTAGTATGTGTTCTAAAATCAGCTCATAATATCAAACGTGTTTGATATCCTCAAGCTGAATGGAAACATCGTCTGAAGCTAAAAGAAATCTGTGTGTGTCAAACAGCGCAATTTTGTGTGAAATCTGTCGTCCGACTGCCCGAAATCTGCAGCGTGGCTCTGACTTTTGGCATCTATCGCTGACTCCTCCAGACTGCCAATCAGGGCAAAAATCTATGTGAAAGTCATGAAGTGTATTCCAGCTTTTAGTCATTAGACTTCAGACCATATTTAGCCCATGTTTGGCGATAAAACAAACGTAAATGGTGAACCAATCCTGTAACACAATAGCCGTACATGAGTAATCATGTACTAAATTATACCTAAATATATACCTAAATTAAATATTACTTTAATATAAACTATTGATGAGTTAAGGCTTGTACTACTAATCAAGAACTATTCTTAACTATGAGTCATATGAATTCATGTGCCCAAAGTGTTAGTTAATATATTAACAAATATGCGGTCATTGTTCACACATGAATTCCAATGACTCGTGTCGTAGTTACAATTAATTCTTGATATTTAATTTAGGTATTAGTACATGATTATTTATGTACTGTTATTGTAAATTGTTACCAAAAATCGTATAGACTCGCATTGAATGAGTCAAAAATACAGGCTAGAATGTGATACAGACTTGGGGCTGGGCGTATTTTGACCTGGGCTAATGAGTAAACACCTAACAACCAGCCAAAACACCATAGCAACTACAAAGTAACATGCTAAAAGAATCTTTAACCCTAATAGAAGCATCCTGGCAACCAGTGATAACATAGAATTGGGCAAAGGCCACACATCTTTTATCAAATGTAAAAATCTAGTTTATAACGCTATTGTGTCATAAGAATTGAAATGACTGTCACAAAGCGTGCTTTTTAACGTGACTAATGGGTAATAGTAAATCTCTGTTGTCCTGCTCCCAGGTGTGTCGAGAATTCCAGCGGGGAAACTGCACACGCGGGGAGAACGACTGCCGCTATGCCCACCCAATGGAAGCCGCCATGGTGGACGGCAGCGAGAACTCCGTCATTGTTTGCATGGATTACATTAAGGGCCGATGCACCCGTGACAAATGCAAGTACTTTCACCCTCCGGCTCACTTACAGGCCCGGATAAAGGCGGCGCAGCACCAAGCCAGCCAGAATGCTGCTGCCATGGTGAGTTACTGAGACGATTCCATTACAATGACATCACAAGCACTAATTCCCATAATTATGACAATCACACATCACAGTACAGAAGATTATGCTCTGTGGAAAAATGTATAGCCTTCTGTAAAGACTATATGGCAACACCATGGACTAGTTGTCATATGGAAAATTAAGCTACATAATTTGTGAAAACATTTTTATTTTATTCATCCATATAAAATACAATTCTGTTATTTACAAATATCATATATAAAAGTAATTGCTAATAACTGAATTTGTTACACATTTAAATAACTTCTGACCATTTATTAAAAGCAGCTTGTTGTGGCATAAATCAAACTGAATCAAAACATGTAAAACTCGTAAAATCAAGCCACGTTGTTTTAATATAAGGAATGAATGTTAAAATGAATAAAGAGTGAGTGAATAATTTATTCTGTCACGTTGCACACACACGAGGAACGAGGAGACGCTGGAGAATATGTTGACAAGACTTTATTTGCACCAAGGAACCAAGGGAGACGAACACAGGAAGACGTTCAACAGCGGACAGAGAACTAGGGACTGGGAACACTTTAAATACACACAGGAGGAGGGGATGACGAGACACACCTGGGAGCAATGAAACATCAAGGGAAACACCTGGGACAAATGAACTAAACTAATCAGGACAGGAACAGGAAACTAACCAAATAAGGGCATGGGAAGGCACATGGGGAGCAGGACACACACAAAACAAGGAACAGAGTCTGACATAATGCCCCCTCCGGAAGGCGTGACCTCACGCCATATAACATCCAATGGGGAGGGGGGGTGGGCACTC